ATGAAGGGAACCTGTCTGCATTATTGCCTGTAAGAACATGACATTTGGTTTCCATGGGCGATATTCCTCCCCTGTGATTCTGACAGGGAGGATCCGTTGTGCCAGCACAATCTGGTGGGTCAGAACCTTTCTTTTCACAGATGTAATAAAGGACACGTTTTTGGCTGCCAGTCACGGTTGTGATGGCTGTGACTGACAGCTCTGTAATACATGAAGTGCTGCGTCAGTGCCAGATACACACCTCTGTGCCGGTGTCAGCAGTGAACAGCTGGGCGTAGTGCTGACTGTCGGTCAGCGCCGGGTCCTCCTGGGTCACTGGTGCTGGGCCCGGCATTTCTTGCAGCTTCTGCATTATATACAACCCTGCCGCTGCTTCTTCCTGCTCTGCACAACTCTGCTTCCCCTTCTCCATTAACCCTTCCTGAACCTCCGCAGGTTTCTGCACTTCCATTGTCAGGTCCACAGAATGACCCGGACCCCCAAACACCCTCCCTTCCTGCACCCCTCTACCAACAGGCACCCCACTGTCCTGCACCACTGTCCCCTCAGACACCCCACCTTCCTGCACCCCTGTCCCCTCAGACACCCCACCTTCCTGCACCCCTCCCCCCTCAGACACCCCACCTTCCTGCACCCCTGCCCCCTCAGACAACCCACCTTCTTGCACCCCTATACCAACAGGCAACATACATTCCTGCACCCCTATCCCAACATGCACCCCTATACCAACAGGCAACCTACATTCCTGAACTCCTGTCCCAACAGGCACCCAACCTTCCTGCACCCCTATACCAACAGGTACCCGACCTTCCTGCACCCCTATCCCAACAGGCACCCTACATTTCTGCACCCCTGTCCCCTCAGGCAGCTCAGCTTCCTGCACCCCTGTCCACTCAGACAGCTCAGCTTCCTGCACCCCTGTCCCCTCAGACAGCTCACCTTCCTGCACCCCTGTCCCCTCAGACAGCTCACCTTCCTGCACCCCTGTCCCCTCAGACAGCTCACCTTCCTGCACCCCTGTCCCCTCAGACAGCTCACCTTCCTGCACCCCTGTCCCCTCAGACAGCTCACCTTCCTGCACCCCTGTCCCCTCAGACAGCTCACCTTCCTGCACCCCTGTCCCCTCAGACAGCTCACCTTCCTGCACCCCTGTCCCCTCAGACAGCTCACCTTCCTGCACCCCTGTCCCCTCAGACAGCTCACCTTCCTGCACCCCTGTCCCCTCAGACAGCTCACCTTCCTGCACCCCTGTCCCCTCAGACAGCTCACCTTCCTGCACCCCTGTCCCCTCAGACAGCTCACCTTCCTGCACCCCTGTCCCCTCAGACAGCTCACCTTCCTGCACCCCTGTCCCCTCAGACAGCTCACCTTCCTGCACCCCTGTCCCCTCAGACAGCTCACCTTCCTGCACCCCTGTCCCCTCAGACAGCTCACCTTCCTGCACCCCTGTCCCCTCAGACAGCTCACCTTCCTGCACCCCTGTCCCCTCAGACAGCTCACCTTCCTGCACCCCTGTCCCCTCAGACAGCTCACCTTCCTGCACCCCTGTCCCCTCAGACAGCTCACCTTCCTGCACCCCTGTCCCCTCAGACAGCTCACCTTCCTGCACCCCTGTCCCCTCAGACAGCTCACCTTCCTGCACCCCTGTCCCCTCAGACAGCTCACCTTCCTGTACCCCTGTCCCCTCAGACAGCTCACTTTCGTGCACCCCTCTCCCCTCAGACAACTCACCTTCCTGCACCCCTCTTCCCTCATACTCCTCACGTTCCTGCACCCCTCTCCTTTCAGGCAGCTCACCTTCCTGCACCCCTCTCCCCTCAGACATCTCACCTTCCTGCATCTCTGCCCCCTCAGACAGCTCACCTTCCTGCATCTCTGTCCCCTCAGCTACCTGAGCCTGTCTCTCTCCGAATACCTCATGCGGCCTACTCTGCCTCCCCGCCTCCTCCTGCCCCGGGGACCCGGGCTGCACCCCATTCCTCATGTCCCTGAATAGCTGGGCTCAGCCTGAGGTGCCGCTACCCGGGACCGGGACCTGCCAATTAACCGCGGATGGGGGTCCGGCTCTCGGATGTACTCTGCCGCCCTCCTGCGTACATTTTGAAGAACTGCATTCGATGCCCGCTAACAACGCTCGTTTCGCTCTGCTGCCCCCTGTGGACAATGTGTAGAACTGTAGCAGACTGTCAGACCTAAACCTGGCTCATTAGCGCCAATGTGCAAGAGAGTGGACAATGGGTAGAACTGCAGCCTCATACCAACTCACTTCCAGCGGCTGGACAATACTGCCACCGTGTGGACATTCCTGACAACTGCAATCCGCTTCAATTGAGAAATGCTTTGTCGGGTCTGGCTTTCCCGCCAGATTCGAGCATGATTTTTACAGTAAGGGCCATTCACCCCAAGCCTGTCCATTGTGGTGTGGTAAAATGTGCAGTCCATTCATGACAACACACCACAAAGGACCAAAATTAAGCATGCTTTATTTTCTGTAATGGAACACATTATATTAATGCATTACTGCGCTTTGCAATGCAGGTGCATTCCCATTGTAAATGAACGGCAGCACAATGCACTAATGCATGTATTTATATAGGTGTGACTGAGCCCAAAGAGAAAGAAAGCAATGCCATTATATCAGTAACAAAATATCCATGCTCCGGGACCTCTGTGCCCTCAAACACCTCACCTTCCTGCACCCCTCTGGCATCAGACACCCCACCTTCCTGCACCCCTCTGGCATCAGACACCCCACCTTCCTGCACCCCTATCCCATCAGACACCCCACCTTCCTCCACCCCTATCCCATCAGCCACCCCCCACCTTCCTGCACCCCTATCCCATCAGACACCCCACCTTCCTGCACCCCTATTGACACCCCACCTTCCTGCACCCCTATCCCATCAGATACCCCACCTTCCTGGACCCCTATCCCATCAGACACCCCGCCTTCCAGCACCCCTATCCCCATTGACACCACCTTTCTGCACCCCTATCCCATCAGACACACCACCTTCCTGCACCCCTCTGGCATCAGACACACCACCTTCCTGCACCCCTATCCACATTGACACCTCACCTTCCTGCACCCCTATCCCATCAGACACCCCACCTTCCTCGACCCCAATCCCATCAGTCACCCCACCTTCCTGCACCCCTATCCCATCAGACACCTCACCTTCCTGCACCCCTATTTCAGACACCTCACCTTCCTGCACCCCAATCCCATCACACCCCACCTTCCTGCACCCCTATCCCCATTGACACCACCTTCCTGCACACTTATCCCATCAGACACCACCACCTTCCTGCACCCCTATGCCATCAGACACCTCACCTTCCTGCACCCCTATGCCATCAGACACCTCACCTTCCTGCACCCCAATCCCATCACACACCTCACCTTCCTGCACCCCTATCCCCATTGACACCTCACCTTCCTGCACCCTTATCCCATCAGACACCACCACCTTCCTGCACCCCTGTCCCTTAGACACACCTCCTTTCTGTCCCCTATTAACACCCCCACCTTCCTGCACCCCTATCCTATCAAACACCCTCGCTCGCCTGCACCTATGTCCCCATAGACACCTCACCTTCCTGCACCCCTATCCTATCAGACACCTCACCTTCCTGCACCCTTATCCCATCAGACACCACCACCTTCCTGCACCCCTGTCCCTTAGACACACCTCCTTTCTGTCCCCTATTAACACCCCCACCTTCCTGCACCCCTATCCTATCAAACACCCTCGCTCGCCTGCACCTATGTCCCCATAGACACCTCACCTTCCTGCACCCCTATCCCATCAGACACCCCACCTTCCTCGACCCCAATCCCATCAGTCACCCCACCTTCCTGCACCCCTATCCCATCAGACACCTCACCTTCCTGCACCCCTATTTCAGACACCTCACCTTCCTGCACCCCAATCCCATCACACCCCACCTTCCTGCACCCCTATCCCCATTGACACCACCTTCCTGCACACTTATCCCATCAGACACCACCACCTTCCTGCACCCCTATGCCATCAGACACCCCACCTTCCTGCACCCCTATGCCATCAGACACCTCACCTTCCTGCACCCCAATCCCATCACACACCTCACCTTCCTGCACCCCTATCCCCATTGACACCTCACCTTCCTGCACCCTTATCCCATCAGACACCACCACCTTCCTGCACCCCTGTCCCTTAGACACACCTCCTTTCTGTCCCCTATTAACACCCCCACCTTCCTGCACCCCTATCCTATCAAACACCCTCGCTCGCCTGCACCTATGTCCCCATAGACACCTCACCTTCCTGCACCCCTATCCTATCAGACACCTCACCTTCCTGCACCGCTATCCCATCCGACAACCCCCCCCTCCCTGCACAGCTATCCTATCAGACACCTCACCTTCCTGCACCGCTATCCCATCCGACAACCCCCCCCTCCCTGCACAGCTATCCTATCAGACACCTCACCTTCCTGCACCGCTATCCCATCCGACAACCCCCCCCTCCCTGCACAGCTATCCTATCAGACACCTCACCTTCCTGCACCGCTATCCCATCCGACAACCCCCCCCTCCCTGCACAGCTATCCTATCAGACACCTCACCTTCCTGCACCGCTATCCCATCCGACAACCCCCCCCTCCCTGCACAGCTATCCTATCAGACACCTCACCTTCCTGCACCGCTATCCCATCCGACAACCCCCCCCTCCCTGCACAGCTATCCTATCAGACACCTCACCTTCCTGCACCGCTATCCCATCCGACAACCCCCCCCTCCCTGCACAGCTATCCTATCAGACACCTCACCTTCCTGCACCGCTATCCCATCCGACAACCCCCCCCTCCCTGCACAGCTATCCTATCAGACACCTCACCTTCCTGCACCGCTATCCCATCCGACAACCCCCCCCTCCCTGCACAGCTATCCTATCAGACACCTCACCTTCCTGCACCGCTATCCCATCCGACAACCCCCCCCTCCCTGCACAGCTATCCTATCAGACACCTCACCTTCCTGCACCGCTATCCCATCCGACAACCCCCCCCTCCCTGCACAGCTATCCTATCAGACACCTCACCTTCCTGCACCGCTATCCCATCCGACAACCCCCCCCTCCCTGCACAGCTATCCTATCAGACACCTCACCTTCCTGCACCGCTATCCCATCCGACAACCCCCCCCTCCCTGCACAGCTATCCTATCAGACACCTCACCTTCCTGCACCGCTATCCCATCCGACAACCCCCCCCTCCCTGCACAGCTATCCTATCAGACACCTCACCTTCCTGCACCGCTATCCCATCCGACAACCCCCCCCTCCCTGCACAGCTATCCTATCAGACACCTCACCTTCCTGCACCGCTATCCCATCCGACAACCCCCCCCTCCCTGCACAGCTATCCTATCAGACACCTCACCTTCCTGCACCGCTATCCCATCCGACAACCCCCCCCTCCCTGCACAGCTATCCTATCAGACACCTCACCTTCCTGCACCGCTATCCCATCCGACAACCCCCCCCTCCCTGCACAGCTATCCTATCAGACACCTCACCTTCCTGCACCGCTATCCCATCCGACAACCCCCCCCTCCCTGCACAGCTATCCTATCAGACACCTCACCTTCCTGCACCGCTATCCCATCCGACAACCCCCCCCTCCCTGCACAGCTATCCTATCAGACACCTCACCTTCCTGCACCGCTATCCCATCCGACAACCCCCCCCTCCCTGCACAGCTATCCTATCAGACACCTCACCTTCCTGCACCGCTATCCCATCCGACAACCCCCCCCTCCCTGCACAGCTATCCCATCAGACAACCCCCACCTCCCTGCACAGCTATCCCATCAGACACCGCCACCTTCCTGCACCCTTGTCTCTATGTACCCCTGTCCCTTCCATCACCCCCATCTTCCTGGCACCGCAACGCATGTATTGTACATTGCAGGCTGATGCCTCTCCAGCAGCACCTTTCATATTGCTGCAAGCCGTTGCAATGCGTTAAAGGAGAACTATGAGGTGAGTGCTTTTCACCTAGATCACCTCTCTGCCGTGACAGGGGGAGGGGCTGGATTCCCCTCTCCGATCTGCCAGCGCTGAGGGGGCGGGTACAGCTGGCTCTGCCTCTAGATAGGCAGAGCCAGCTGTCACTCACGCAGCTGGGCGGATCCAGTCGTCTAAGTCGGGATCCGCTCCGGCTGCGGCGTCTCAGTATATAGGGAGCTATAGCTCGCGGTATACTGAGCTTAGGGTGACGGGAGGACGCTAGTTTGTGTCCTCCCGTTACCCTGAGAACTATGGGGAAAAACACTGACCCCATTGTTCTCCTTTAATGTGCATTATGTGGTGTGTTAAGGCAGACCACACATTATGAATGGTCTGTGCGGTCCAAAATCAGACCAGACATGATCGTTCTTAATAGCAGTGCACTAGAGACGGCGGGCCTGTGCATTGCTGCTAGTAATAGTACATTAGGGTGCCATTATAAATGAAAGGCACGGCCACTCACCATAGACGATGCATTAATATGTGGGACAACGTGCATTGCACGGGGTTATTCAGACAAGCGTGACGGGTTTGGAGAAGGCCGGAGAAGTGAACAATCTAGAACAACAGAGCTGAAATGGAGAATTTTGCCAAATTAGTTATTTTGGACTAGACAGTTCACTTCTCCAAACTCCTCACCCTTATGCAAGTAACCCCGTTAGTGCATACGACCCCAATGCATAGATGTGAAGGTTTCCAACTCAACATCTCTGCCGACCTCAGATCATTCCCTACAGAGTATTGCAGGCCGCTTTCATAAAGGAACATACTTTTTTCAGGATCCATTATATGCCTTTGCGGAGTCCGAGCTCTCCAATCAGCGGGAATTGTGAACTTTGCTGATTGCAGAGTGTTAGTTCCGACTCAGGAGGATAGAGTCAGACCTCTTCAGAGAGACCACTGATACCACACAGAGAAAGGTCCTTTCTCTACAGCACAGGAATGCAAACTGAAAGCTGCCACTAGATGGCGCTACAACCAAATTACACACATTCACCTCCACTGATGACCGACTTGTCTCA